CCCCCGCAGTATTTGAAATTAACAAAGACCTACCTAATGATTGTCACTTTAACCTCTCTTGGAAAGTCTAAAATTGTTAACCATAGCAATGTTAAATGTCAACAGGGAATAAAAATAAATGGTTACTCTGCAAAAAAAATGTGAACTCTGTAAATAAAAAATGGATGATTTTTATACAAAGAGGTGGTTCTAACAGTTGTTGACTAAAAACAAAATTACACAATGTGAGAGTTGTGAGTTAAGTTTTATTTGGGGCAAAATGAGGACTATAGCCTGGGAGACAGCATTTCAGATAGCTCTGAGAAACAGCTCCAAAGAGGCAGGAGGGAAGGTCAGTATATATGTCATTTTGGTGAAGGGGGAGTACATTCAATCAAGCACATACTTTTTGCAGAAGGTTTCTGCTAGTCACCAGGAGCAGATATCACCATGAAGGGTTTTAGTGGTTTTCTAGATATGAGGAGATGCAAGAATTGGGCTCATAAAATCGTCATCTGAAAATATCTAACCATCTGAAGACTGGTTCTGCCAGTTTTTCCCAGAGCACAGAGTGCCTCATTTCTGCTCTCCACCCTGAACTCCTTTGAAGGTCAGCAGCTGCAGCACATGATTTCATCCTTGTAGAGGCAGATGGCAAGTGCCAATCTGTAGTTAACACAGTATATTCATGACCAAATGCTAATAAATTTAAATTGTATCTGATGGGTGCACCAGGAAAAATAAATGAGGAAAAGATTTTTACAATATTCTTACATTTCTTGGTCACCATGAGTGGTTACAAATGACATCCCTGTCCTCAGCCCCTCTTGTTTAGGAAGCCCCGTACCATGTGTGGTCTTAGAGAGTCCACCTATGACATTATCACTTGCCCCACCTATGACATTATCACTTGCCCCAGCCTTACCTTTCTACCTTCTAACCATTAGACATTCCCATGTCCTTACCTTTTTCTCAGACTCACTTTCCCTCCCACTTCACCTTCAATCATTTAGCCATGTTAATAGATTTTTTTAAATTGCCAAAAAAGGAATAGAAACATTAACAGAATGCTGATTTGAGCTAACAGTAAGTTGGCTGAATAACCACCATCATCATCATGTCCTGAGTAACCTAACCAGAGGTAGCTCTTTAATTAATAATTTACTATTAACACCAGGTTGGAGTGGTGTGAAAGAGAAATCTATGTTAGAGAGGACTTTGGTGAGGTCATCCTTTGTGAAGGTCCCATCTCTGTCTACGTGTATCCAAAAGAAACAGAAACAGTTGAAAATATGTTTTATATTTGTCATGCGGCTTACAAAAGCAATGTTTTTGAGTTTTTTATGGCCATGGTGCTAAATAGATCAATCAAATCTGTAGTCATATCTAGTTCTGATACAAATATTGTGTCCTGCCCTGAGAACCGACTCCTTATATATATGTCTGGACGATTAACTGAGTTTATTTGTTCTGCCAAGTAATGCATTTATACATACTGGGCGGGCTGAAAGTAATATATGTTGACTTAATTTTCATAATGAGTTAAATATCTTCTATCTGAATTTGTTCCTATTATTCGTAGGTATTCAGAAGACTCCAAATGAACCTCAGCTGGAATTCATCCTTGGTAAGAAATTCCATCTTATTTATTTATAGCTATAAATGTAATAAGCCTTACAACTTTAGATACGTTACTTATATCATTATATATTTTATAAACTTTCATGAATATCGTTCCGTGAAAGAATTTCATTCTATAAGGTAAGTGTTATTTTCCCCAATTTATTAGTAAAGAATCTGAGCTGTGGAGCAGGTCAGCTCATGACCCAAGGATTGAGGACTCAGTGGTGATGGGTTTGTGCCTCTCAATCAGGTCTGCTCTCTGCAAATCTGGTGTCCAGCACTCATTCTAATACAGTGACCCGATTTTGTTGCTAATCAACATTTCTCAAAATCCATGTGTCTAATTAATCTACTCCTTGGGCTGGAGACTGGGCTTATGTAGAGTTTTCCTTTATCCTCCTTTATGCCATTTACAAGGTTCATGCCCCCTTTCGGTCTCACTCACTCAAAAATATCCCCTTACTCTTTTTTAAAATTAATTAATTAATTAATGTTTGGCTGCATTGGGTCTTTGTTGCTGGGCATGGGCTTTCTCTAGTTGCGGTGAGCGGTGGCTACTCTTCATTGCAGTGTGTGGGCTTCTCATTGCAGTGGCTTCTCTTGTTGCAGAGCACGGGATCTAGGCACATAGGCTTCAGTAGTTGCGGTGTGTGGGCTTCAGTAGTTGTGGCTCGCGGTCTGTAGAACGCAGGCTCAGTAGTTGTGGCGCACGGGCTTAGTTGCTCCGCAGCGTGTGGGATCTTCCTGGACCAGGGCTCGAGCCTGTGTTCCCTGCATTGGCAGGTGGATTCTTAACCACTGTGCCACCAGGGAAGTCCCAGTCCCCTTACTCTTCCATCTTGATGTTGTGGACAGATCCTTGACTTTGAGAGTTTAATTTTAATTCAAAGCTTTAACTTGCTTAAGCAACTCTAAAGATCTGGCACATGTAGAAATTTGTAACTTTGTCAAGGGTGAATTATTAAAAATGTGCACCCCTACAGTATTGTAAACCAACTATACTTCAATACAATTGTTTTTTGCTTAAACATCACTGGTTTTAAAAAAAAATGTGTACCCTGAGGCTGGTCCACTACTTAGCTAGTGAGTGGGAGCTGCTTTGTGTTTGAATCAGATATGACTACAGAGTGCTATTAGGGAATTAGCTGCAAAATGGTATTTAAAGGGGGTAAAAATATGGTTCCTGTGAACTATTCAGAGAGGGTTTTTTTTCCCTCTCTTTCACTGTTCTGAAATATTTTGAAAGGTCCCCAATATCTTTACGTTTTATTTGTATGAAGTTTTATAGAATTGTAAATGCATGTATTCAATTCCATATACAGACACCAGATACATTTTAGTATCCAAATCTTTAAATATTGATATATATATTTTATAAAGTTATGGGAAAATTGAAATATATACATCCACTATCTGCAGTAGTTTTTAGTTGTTTGAAGTCCCAATTGTTTTAGGAATATACTTTTTCATTATATAATGAAATAGGTTTCAAGTTTACACCCTTTGCTCAAAATATTACATTTTCAACCATAACTTATTGTAAAGAATCATAATTTTTTGGTTTTGTTTTCTTTATCTTTCTAATAGATTTTATTTTTAGAGCAGTTTTAAGCTCACATCAAATGTGAACAGAAGGTACATCCCCTGCCATAGTGGTACAGTTGTTACAGTTGATGAACTTACAGTGACAGATTATTGTTACCCAAAGTCTATAGTTTACATTAGGATTCATTCTTGGTGTGATACATTCTATGGATTTGGACAATGTATAGACATGTATTCATCATTATAGTATCACACTTATTATCTTCACTGTCCTAAAAGTTCACTGACTTCTAACTATTCATCCTCCTCTCTCCTGTCACCCCTGACAACCACTGATAAAGCTATACTTTATTTATTTATTTTTCTAGAGAGTTCTCAGATGTTGTCAGATATAGAAAGAATTCATTTTTCAGAAAGGGAGCCAAGTAGCAAAGAAGAACTAGGCACCTCTTGACTCACTGACAACTTGACGCTTGCTGCTTGAGCCTTTATTTACTCATCTTTTATTTTTAAGAGAAGAAATTCATTTTTTACCTTTTTAGCAGGACTTATGAAAAATGAAGATTTGTTAGACTAATTTGGTGTATTTCAAAACACAGAGAAAGTTTTTCTACTTGCATCCTGAGAACAGGGGAAATCTGAACTAGGCAGAAGCAATTGGAGTGGAGGCTGTTAGTCAAACATGGAGACAGAATGCCTGGGCCAAATACCTGTCTTCTGTTTCTTTTTTCTTTTTTTTTCCCAGTTAAATTGCCCTTTGGGGACCCTTGAAGACCCCATAACTCTCACCAAACAATTAATATATTTTTTTTCTTTTTTTTAAATACTTATGTATATTATTTCTTTTTTTTTAACATCTTTATTGGAGTATAATTGCTTTACAATGGTGTGTTAGTTTCTGCTTTATAACAAAGTGAATCAGCTGTATGTATACATATATCCCCATATCCCCTCCCTCTTGCGTCTCCCTCCCACCTTCCCTATCCCACCCCTCTTGGTGGTCACAAAGCACCAAGCTTATCTCCCTGTGCTATGCAGCCGCTTCCCACTAGCTATCTATTTTACATTGGGTAGTGTATATATGTCCATGCCACTCTCTCACTTCGTCCCAGCTTACCCTTCCCCCTCTGCCTGTCTTTTATTTCAATTAAAGTTATTTATCTTGTTCAAAGACCTAACTATACTAACTCTTTTGAAAGTGCAGTCAAATTTGGGAACAATGCTCTCGTCGTCACTTACATTTCTGGCTTTGAATCATGATCTCAGAGGTGAGCAGCTCTGAGAATTTATTCATAATAATATTCCTCCCATTTAAAAAAACAAACCTTAATTTTCTTTTTTCATGTCTATTCAAAAAATACAGTAGAATTTTTTTTTTTTTCTGTGGTACACGGGCCTCTCACTGTTGTGGCCCCTCCCGTTGCGGAGCACAGGCTCCGGACGCGCAGGCTCAGCAGCCATGGCTCACGGGCCCAGCCGCTCCGCGGCATGTAGGATCTTCCCGGACCGGATCGGCAGGCGGGCTCTCAACCACTGCGCCACCAGGGAAGCCCCAGTAGAATTCTTAACAACAGGTAATTTTATTTTATCATATGGCAGGAAATGCCTGACGAATAAACAAAAGAAAGTTATTTAGAATCTTCAGGGAACTGTGTTCTTGATCCTGGAAGATGTAGTTTCCAAACTGTTATGTTTCTTAGCACTTTAAGATCCTTAACTGTACCATCTCTTGAAGAATTTTTGAAAAAACTACTCTTTCAAGGAGATTACAGCTAAACTCGTGTAGGTTTTACAGTATATTTTTGTCTCTTTTTTCTTTTGAGTTTTTTTACTCTCACAAATGATTCAAGATTTCACCTATTATATAGCTGACTCCACTTCATAATTAAAAATGAGAGAATAATAGTTTCTTAAATATTTTTGTCATCGTTTAAGAATGTGCATATTTAATCAGAAAGAAAGCAAAGCATCTTAATACAAAAAAAAAAAAAATCTAGGACAAAATGGCACAAACAAGGTAAGAGACTTTTTTCCACCTAATTTTCCAACTAAATTCTTTTGGGGGGGGGGAATTTTTTTAATTGAAGTATAGTTGATTTACAATGTTGTGTTAATTTCTGCTGTACAGCAAAGTGATTCAGTTATACATGTATATACATTTTTTATACATTCTTTTCCATTATGGTTTATCTCAGGATATTGAATATAGTTCTCTGTGCTATACAGTAGGACCTTGTTGTTTCTCCATCCAACTAATTTTTTTTTTTATATTTGATTATCAGTTCTGTACCAAAGTATTCAAACAAATTGAGAGTTTCAATGGCCTTGCTTTTTAAATTGGGAAAACAGCCACACTAATTTTGTAGGTGTCATATTGCTTTATATGAGTTATATTCCATCAACATTTGTCTCTGCCTTGTCTATAAAATCATTATATCTTGCTGAATTTCCTCTGCTACATCTTTATCTAAGTAAACGAGTTAGGAAATGCTTAGTCAATTGAGCAAGCTATATATAAATAAAGTATATAATAATCAGCTAAAAATAGTACAAGATAAGCATGTACTGATAAAATGAGTATCTCATGCCCATTGTCAGCTGTATTTCTAGTGATTGACTGCATTTAAATTCTATAATTCACTCTTACACCTACAACTCTGCTTCCACATGTCTTTCATTGTTCCACTTGAGTACATTGATACCCTTTTTATTTTCACAAAAAGAAAAATAATTAAAAACCCAAAAGAACACAGATTTTGTTTACAGTCTAATAAAATTGTTTTCATTCCAACAAAGCTGGCATTTAAGAAGAGGGATCATTTCTTACAATCTGGTAACATTTCTTTCTTGAAACCACTGTGGAAAATGTATAGAGGTGAGTCATTTGACAAAGATATGAAAGAAAAGAAATTCCTATGAACTATTTCTTAAGTTTATTCTCCTGATTATGCTTATAATGTTTATTGTCATGCCTCCATTTACTATCTCCAAAGTCAATAGAATACTTAGAAGAATATGTTTTCATATTTTTATATGGACACCACACATACCATAAATCCAAGGCAATAGTCACTAATGCATGTTAGTGCACAGGAGGGAATGGCATGTGTGTGTACATGTGGTTCTTGTGTTTTTTATTTGACACTGTGAAGTCACATTCTTTAAATAACTTACACGTTGATGACTGATACCTACTGGAAGCCAGACACAGCGTACATCAAAACACACATTTTATACGTGTCAACAGCCTCGGTGTCAGTTATGATAGGAATGTGGGGACGTGGAGGCTGGCGTGAAATCCTTAACAAGTGCAAGTAATTCACTCATCTAAAGTGTATTAAGAGCATAGAAATCTTATAAATAAAGTAATTTCAGGTAGTGTTAAGTTCTGTGTAGACAGAAACAGTGTGACTATCTAGAACGTGCCTGGGGTAGTTGACTTGGGGAACAGAAGGACTG